CTCTCCCTCTCTCTCTAATCGTCAATAATTTTATACAGAAAAAAAAGAGTTTATCTCATTTTATTATTTAGAATTTTTTTAATACATTTTTCAAAACTTTTGACTTATTTGTAACAATATTAACGAGCACTAATTGCTCTATAATTCATTTTCTCGAACACTTTTAATTCAAGAATAGTTCTTTAATGACGTTAAATTAAAACGTCAGTAAACTATAAGCAGAGAAACTAATTCCAAGTTTACTAACTTAAAACAATAATAATAATTAAATATAATAATATTAATAATAATAATAATAATAATAATAATAATAATAATAATAATAATAATAATAATAATAATAATAATATTCTAACAATAATTCTAAATAAAAAAAAATACTTTAAATAAATAAATACTACGGTTCAATTTTTAATGCGAAATAAAAAAAAATTTCATGTACAGTATAAAAAATGTCTCAAAAATAAAATTTTAGAACAAAAAAAAATAAAATATCTCCATTGATTGAAAACTAATTTGATAAAATGCAAAATTAAATTAAATTTGTATTTTCTCGGTTCTAATTCTAATATTTTAAAGATTCTTTCAAATTATAATTTATACAAGTTTGGCTAGTAAGAAAAAAAAATTAATTTCCCATGCGAATAAATTTGAAACGACATGACAGTAGAAGATTAGCACTTAGAAAAAAAATTTTTCCCTCTTTCCTTAATTAACACAGAAAACTCGTTATTAATATTTTAATTAAAATGTGATATTGTACTTTATAATAATTTATCTTTTAATTTCAGATATAAGTCTTTAAAACAAGTTTTTATTTTGTTATGACTACAGAAATGTCATAAAAAATGCTCAATGTCCAAAGTTGCATATAAAACAATTTTTTCTTTTATATATATATTTCTTTTGTTAAAAAAAAAGAAATGAAGAGAAAATGACATGAAGAGAAGAGAATTAACATTTTATCGTGAAATCATAATTTTTATTGACGTAAAATTGAATTTTTGCTCTGTATTGAAACATTGAAATAGGGGGAAAAAAAATTATCACAATTTTAAGGAAATGATATAATTTTTATTGCTTTGACAATTTAAAAGGGATTATAGGAATAATAATTCATAAAGATTTGTTTTTTTACCTTTTGAGAAAAAAAAAGCTAGAACACATGCTGAATATGATATACATTTTTTTCATAAATGAATTTAAAATTTTAATCGTTATTGTATAATAATAATTAGTATACTTTTCATAATTACGAGAGCCAAACAAAAACAAATTAAATATTTTACCTGAATGCGTGTGAAATTATTGACGATTAGATAAATACTGGACTGTTATTGTTAATGTTTGTCTGAATTATTTTAATAATAATTTTATAATTATAATAATAATAATAATAATAATAATAATAATAATAATAATAATAATAATAATAATAATAATAATAATAATAATAATATTCTAACAATAATTCTAAATAAAAAAAAATACTTTAAATAAATAAATACTACGGTTCAATTTTTAATGCGAAATAAAAAAAAATTTCATGTACAGTATAAAAAATGTCTCAAAAATAAAATTTTAGAACAAAAAAAAATAAAATATCTCCATTGATTGAAAACTAATTTGATAAAATGCAAAATTAAATTAAATTTGTATTTTCTCGGTTCTAATTCTAATATTTTAAAGATTCTTTCAAATTATAATTTATACAAGTTTGGCTAGTAAGAAAAAAAAATTAATTTCCCATGCGAATAAATTTGAAACGACATGACAGTAGAAGATTAGCACTTAGAAAAAAAATTTTTCCCTCTTTCCTTAATTAACACAGAAAACTCGTTATTAATATTTTAATTAAAATGTGATATTGTACTTTATAATAATTTATCTTTTAATTTCAGATATAAGTCTTTAAAACAAGTTTTTATTTTGTTATGACTACAGAAATGTCATAAAAAATGCTCAATGTCCAAAGTTGCATATAAAACAATTTTTTCTTTTATATATATATTTCTTTTGTTAAAAAAAAAGAAATGAAGAGAAAATGACATGAAGAGAAGAGAATTAACATTTTATCGTGAAATCATAATTTTTATTGACGTAAAATTGAATTTTTGCTCTGTATTGAAACATTGAAATAGGGGGAAAAAAAATTATCACAATTTTAAGGAAATGATATAATTTTTATTGCTTTGACAATTTAAAAGGGATTATAGGAATAATAATTCATAAAGATTTGTTTTTTTACCTTTTGAGAAAAAAAAAAGCTAGAACACATGCTGAATATGATATACATTTTTTTCATAAATGAATTTAAAATTTTAATCGTTATTGTATAATAATAATTAGTATACTTTTCATAATTACGAGAGCCAAACAAAAACAAATTAAATATTTTACCTGAATGCGTGTGAAATTATTGACGATTAGATAAATACTGGACTGTTATTGTTAATGTTTGTCTGAATTATTTTAATAATAATTTTATAATTATAATAATAATAATAATAATAATAATAATAATAATAATAATAATAATAATAATAATAATAATAATAATAATAATAATAATAATAATAATAATTCATTTTTAAATCAATTTTTATTAGAATATTCTACTAGAATTTAATTATTTAAATACAAAAGTAAATAATTTAGTGAATAATTGAATGTTTCTTAAAATTGAATTCTTATAAAGAATTTAACAAATTTTCAAGTAATTAAATTCTTTCGACGAATTCAAATAAAATTGTATCTAAAATAATTGAATTTTTGAGAAAAATTTTATAACTTTTGAAACATAATTGAATTTTTGGGAAAACTTTTATTATTTATGAAAATAATTGAATTATTAGAATTTTATTAAAATGTTGTTTTAAATAATTGAATTCTTTTTAGAAACTTTATAAATCATGAAATTGAGGAAAATTTTTGAAAATAATTTAAATTAACAAGAATTTTATTAAAAATTTTGAAAATACTTGAATATTGGAGATAAATTTTATTATTATTTTTATTTATGAAGATAATTGGATTTTTTACGAGAATTTCAAAAAATTTTGGAACATAATTGAATTTTCGAGGGGAATTTTATTATTTATGAAAATAATCGAATTCCTGTGAATTTTTATTACTTATATAAATATAATTAAATGTTTGCGTAGCATTTTATTGAATATTTTTTTAAATAATCAATTCTTATGGAAAATTTTATAAAAAATAGTAAATATTATTGAAAATTGAAAATAATTGTATTGAGGAAAATTTTTTTTGAAAATAATTGAATTTTTGGAGAAGAATTTTAATATTTATAAAGATAATTGAAATTTTGACGAAAAATTTTTGAATTTTTTGAACATAATTGAATTTTTGTGGAGAATTTTATTATTTTTGATAATAATTGAATTTTTACAAAGGATTTTATTCAGATTTTTGTAAATAATTGAATTTTTGAGAAGAATATTGTAAAAATTTAGAAAAATAATTTAATTCCTTCGAAGAATTTTATTACCTTTGAAAATAATTCAATTCCTGCGAAAGATTTTGGGAAAATTTAAAACTAATTCTTATTCTCTCGAAGAATTTTACTACTTTTGAAAATAATTGAATTTCTCCAAAGAAATTTATTATTTTTAAAAATAATTGAATTTCTCCAAAGAATTTTTTTATTTTTGAAAATAATTGAATTTCTCCAAAGAATTTTATTATTTTTGAAAATAATTGAATTCGCATGCACGAATTTTATTAGAATATAATTGAAATTTTGCGAAGCATTTCATTCTTATTTCTGAAAATAATTGAATTACAAATTTTATAAAAAGAAATTGTAAATAATTGAATTTCGCAGAAATTTTTATTATTTATGAAAATAATTAAATGTTGGCGTAGAATTTGTTCAAAAAAAATTTTTTTAATAATCGAATTCTTTCGGAAAATTTTATTAAAATAGTAGATAATAAAAATCATTGAAATGACGAAAATTTTTGAAAATAATTAAATTTTTGGAGGAGAATTTTATTATTTATAAAGATAATTGAAATTTTAACGAGAATTTTTTTAATTTTTTGAACACAATTGAATTATTGTGAAGAATTTTATTATTTTTGAATAAAATTGAATTTTTACGAAGGATTTTATTTAGATTTTTGTAAAATAATTGAATTTTTGAAAAGAATATTGTGGAAATTTAGAAAAATAATTGAATTCCTCCGAAGAATTTTTCTACTTTTGAAAATAATTGAATTTCTCCAAAGAATTATATTATTTTTGAAAATAATTGAATTTTTCCAAAGAATTTTATTATTTTTGAAAATAATTGAATTTTTCCAAAGAATATTATTATTTTTGAAAATAATTGAATTCACGCAAAAGATTTTGGGAAAATTTTAAACTATAATTTTTATTCTTCCGAAGAATTTTACTACTTTTGAAAATAATTGAATTTCTCCAAAGAATTTTATTATTTTTGAAAATAATTGATTTTCTTCAAAGAATTTTATTATTTTTGAAAATAATTGAACTTTTCCAAAGAATTTTTTTATTTTTGAAAAGAATTGAATTTCTCCAAAGAAGACTAATTAAAAGAAGAAAATTCTTGAGTAACAATTCCTCATTTATTCCTTTATTAAGTCTCAATTTTGAGAATATTGATAACAAAAAGAAAAAAATTATCAAAATATGTTTTTTTATGTTTTATTGATAATTTTTCATGAAGCCTCGCGTTTTAAAAATGTTGACCTATTGCTGAAATCAAAAATAAAAAAACGAGTATTTGTAAAGATATATTTTTAATTTTTTAATGACAATTTTTTGTCTCGACAATTATTGCGACTCTCTTTAAAAATTTTAATAAATTTTTCCTTTCCTTTTTTCGTCGAGACGACATTAAAATTTCGATATGTGGTTGTAAATAAAGAAAGAGAGAGAGAGAGAGAGAGAGAGAGGGAGATTATTCTCATCTTAGCAGACTCTCACGCCAGATTATAAAATGAAGATCCATGTCCTAACTATGGCTATCGGAGGTGTTAAGCGGCATAGGTCATTCGCGCAACAAGGTTATCACAAGATTTAAAAAAAGGGGGAAGATTTTTGTGCGACGGCAACTTACTTAGGAAGTCAGTCTGTCGAAAACCTTCTTCACAGATCGGATGTAATTTTTTTTATCCCATTTTTAATTTTCAAGTGATTATTTTTTCTAAAAAAAACGAACCCCAAAAAAAAAAAAATAAAGGCACTAAAAATGCCACCTTGGTGAAAAAAAATAAGAAAGGAGGCGAAAATAAAGTGAACCAAAAAAAAAGAAGGAAAGAAAGAAAGAAAGGATTTTGAAACCAAAAAAAGGGAATTTTCCCCCCGGAATTTTCCAAAAAAATGGAAAAACAAAATGTCAAAGAAGCTGGTCAATTACTAAAGAGTTGTTTAGTGTGGATTATTGGATCAATAATAATATTCAGTACAACAATTCTCGTTGTATTTTGGTGTACAAATATATTTCGCGATGCAATAATGACAGAGTTGCAAATTAAAAATGGAACAAATAATTTTGCCATGTGGCAAAGACCCTCGGTTCGTGTTGTCTACAAAATTCATCTCTTCAATTACACGAATGTCGAGGATTTTGAGAATGATCGTGCTGAAAAATTGCGAGTCGAGGACATTGGTCCTTATATTTATCGTGAGACATTGCAACGTGTCAATCCGGTATTTCATCAAAATGGAACAATTTCCTATCAGGAAGTGAGATCATATCAATGGGAGGGTGGTCGTTCAGATGAAGAGATTCTAGTTGTACCAAATTTTCTCCTTTTTGCCGCTATGGCTTATTTAAGGGACTATCCGTATATTTATCATTTCACTTTCACGACAATTTTAGCCGGATTGAGGGCTAAAAGATTTATCAAACTTTCGGCTGGCGAATTTTTATGGGGCTATGACGATGAATTGTTCAATTATGGAAAACCTTTTATTTCAATGAAGCAGCATATTCCGTTTGAGAAATTCGGCCTTCTTGCACTTGTGAGTAATTTTATTTTTTTTTTCTCTCGAATATTTTGTTCATAACTTTTCTTGAAAGTGGCAAATTGATGCTTAAGAAGCATCAGAAAAATCGAAAATCAGAAAAAAAACGGTTCGCGACCATTTTACCGAATAAAAAATTTACTCAATGACCATTTTACCGCACGGAGAAAAATATAATGTAGCTTTTACTACTTTTATAGTAAAAAATTTCCGGTAAAGCATTTCTGGTAATTTTTACTCCAAAAGTAGTAAAAATTACCAGAAATGCTTCACCGGAAATTTTTTACTATAAAAAGTTACTTTGCACAACCGCGTTTTCCCGAAAACCATTATACCGAATGCATCTTTATCGAATTGTCTTAAATCCCGAAAAAAATAAATCAATAAAATGAATAAAAATAAATAAATAAAATAACACACTTGTAACTAAAAATTTATAAAATGTCTGAAAATACGAAAATATACTAAAATTGTAGAATTTCAGTATATACCTATAAATCAGGAAGTCAGGGAAAACAAAATTTTCTTTTTAATTGTTCATACAGGATTGCCAACAAAAATTTAATTTTCTTTTTCCCCGACTCCCTGATTTCCGGACTTATGATTTTTTCCCTGACCCAAAAAAAAATATTCTGCGATTAACTCTAAAAATTATTAAATACACAAAAAAAAATGTTCTATTACATTTATTTACAAATTTCTTAAAAAGTAAAATTATTCGAAAACATCAATAACTTCTTTTTTAAATAAAATATTTAATCATTATTATTTCTCCATTGGAATTAAGATTTTCAAGTTCAAACCTTTTTGAAATTTAACAACTTAATAAGAATATTTATTATAAAACATAAAGAAATTGATAACTCCGAGTCTTCGATGACTCGGAGTCATCGCTTTCTTCATGTTTTATGATAAATTTAAGATGACAGAGTGATAAAATGATTAATTTAAATCATAAGAATTTATAATATAAATAAATTTAAATCATAACTATAAATTCCAATTTTCAAAGATTTTAATTTTTGAACCCTTTTTAAAATTCAATTAATTATTTATTATTTAGTATTTATTTAATATTTATATTTAATATTCAAATTATAATTTAAAATTTTTAAATTTATTATTTAATCAATTTTGATTAAAATATTTTTGAGAATTCTGTTATTTAAATACAAAAATAAATAATTTATTAAATAATTCATTATTTCTTAAAATTGAATTTTTAATGAAGAATTTTATAAATTTTTTTTTTAAATAATTGAATTCTTTCGGCAAACTTAAAAAAAATTAAAAGAATAAATGCAATTTTCTATCATTTTATTTAAAATTGCACAAAAAAATAATTGAAATTCTGCCATAAGCTTATATTTATGAAAATAATTAAATTCCTGCAACGAATTTTAATAAAAATTTTTTTTAAAGAATTGAATTCCTGTGAAGAATTTTATTTTTGAAAATTATTATTATTTATGAAAATAATTCATTTCTTGTGAAGAATTGTATTCAAATTTTTTTAAATAATAATTGAATTTCTCAGTATATCAATAAAAGAAAATAATTAAATTTCTTAGAAGAAATTTTATCAACAAATTTTTAAATAATTGAATTATTTTCAATAATTTTAATAAAATTGTATTAAAAATAATTGAATTAATAAAATGAAAATTTATGAAAATAACTAAATTCATCCTGTAAAAAATTATATTATTTATTAATTGAATTATTAGAGTTTATTTAATTTAATTTAATTATAAAGTTTGTTTTAAATAATTGAATTCTTTTGGGAAACTTTATTAAAATAGTAGATATTAAAAATCATGAAATTGAGGAAGATTTTTGAAAATAATTTAAATTAACCAAGAATTTTATTAAAAATTTGGAAACACTTGAATTTTGAAGAAAAATGTTATTATTATTTTTATTTATAAAGATAATTCGATCTTTTAACATAATTTTTAAAAATTTTGGAACATAATTGAATTTCTAGGAAGAATTTTATTATTTATGAAAATAATTGAATTATTGCAAGGAAATTTAGAAAAAATTTTTAAAAATAATTGAATTCCTGTGAAATTTTTATTATTTATGAAAATAATTAAATGATTGCGTAGAATTTTATCGAAAAATTTTTTTTAATAATTCAATTCTTTCAGAAAAGTTTATTAAAATAGTAGAAATTAAAAAATCATTGAATTAACGAAAATTGTTAAAAATAATTGAATTTTTGGAAAAGAATTTTATTATTTATAAAGATAATTGAAATTTTGACGAGAATTTTTAAAATTTTTTTAACATAATAAATTGAACTTCTGTGAAGAATTTTACTACTTTTGAAAATAATTGAATTTATGGAATCATTTGTATTTTCTCCAAAATTTAATTCTTTTTAGCGTTTTTAAATAAAATTCTTCAATAAATCCATTATTTTTAATAATTAGTTAAATGTTTATTAAAAAATACAAGTAACTTGAAAAGAATTGGAATTATTAAAATTTTCTCAAAAATCGAAGTTCTTTAAAATTTCTAATTTAATTCATTCAAAATTGAAAATTGAATTCTTTTAACGAATTTTAATCAAATTTTTAAGAATAATTACATTTTTTAAGCAATTTGATTAAAATTTTATTAAAAATAATTGAAGTTCAGCGATTAGTTTTATTATTTATGAAAATAATTGAATTTCTAAAAAAAAAATTTATTATTTATGAAAATAATTAAAACCCTGTAAATTTTATTCAAAATAATTGAATTCTTGTGGAAAACTTTATTTTTGAAAATAATTGAATTTCTCCAAAGAATTTTATTATTTTTTTTGAAAATAATTGGATTCATGCAAGAATTTTATTAGAATATAATTGAAATTTTGTGAAGAATTTCATTCTTATTATTTCTGAAAATAATTGAATTACATATTGCAAAAAAATATTTTAAAAAAAATTGTAAATAATTGAATTCCTGTGCAATTTTTATTATTTATGAAAATAATTGAATTCTTACTTAGAATTTTATCACAAACTTTTTTAAAAAATTGATATTTCCATGAATAATATTATTATATTAGTGAAAGTATTTCAATTATTGTGAAGAACTGTATAAAAATTTTGTTAAATAATTGATTTTTTCGAAATATTTTTGAAAATCCTATTCTAATTTAATTGAATTCCTGTGGAGATTTTATTATTTATGAAAATAATTGAATTTTTGATGAATTTTATCAATTTTTTATTAAATAATTAAATTCTTTTGCGAAATTCTATGAAAATATTAGATATTAAAAATAATTGAATTTCGAATATTTTTTTTTTTGAAAATAATTGAATCGTTTTAAAGAATTTGATTATAATTTTTGAGAATAGTTTTTTGATTTTGATTAGTTGTAATCTGGTGCTACTAAGTTGATAGTGTTTTATTTAAATTGTATACTATTTCATTGTGGTTTAAATTGTATTCTATTTAATTGTGGTTTAAATAAAATTTAAATAGTGAATTAAATTCAAATTCTTTAATTATATGACTAAGAAGACAGTGTATAGATTAAAGGTGGGGAAAAAATTAACGACTATCCACAAAGAGGAAAATGATTTCAATTGGAAAAAGTTGATTGGATCATACTATAAATCGCATTCGTTTGTCAAACGTGAATTATTAATTTAAACGCAATGAGTCTACTCTGATTAATATTCTTGATATTCATATTATTCGTTTAATCTTATAACGAATTTTTTGCCAAGGCAAAAGAAATCAACAAGTTTCTGAAATTAGCGTCGATGCTAGTTTTTTTTAGAGAAGTGTCATCACTAATTTAGCTCAAAAGACAAATTTAGTGACACTTCTCTAAAAATAGTCGAAAAATATTTTTCTTTTCGATTTCTGCCCAAAAAAAAACGAAGCGTCGACGTCAACATCATTCAACTGAAGATCAAAATTCTAATTGATTTTTTAGAAATATAATTTCATAATCAGAACAAATTTTTTTGTTACAAGTAATTATTGTCGCAAAACTGTTGTAAAATCCATAATAATGTGTAAGAATTTTGCATAAATGCAAATATTTTCCCTGAGATTAAAGTTAGGAAAAAAAAACCGATGTTCTTGTTTTCACATATTGACAAGGCATCGCAGTAGGGTTTATGTAACATTTTTTATGATAAAAATCAATCACTGTTAATATTGTTTATAATTTTTCGAGCACTGTTAATATTGTTAATAATTTTTCGAGCACTATTAATATTGTTAATAATTTTTAAATTTCATTGTACAATTTTTCTGTGAATAGAAACCAGGTTTGTCGAATGATCGATTCACAATTAATACGGGTGAAAATGATATGGACAAATTGGGCATTATTGAAAGACTTAATGGAATGGAGAGCAGGGAAATATGGGGCGATGAGGAATGTGACAAAATAACAGGCACCGATGGCAGTATTTTTCCACCGAAACTTATTCGCGATCCAAATGCAACATTGCACATTTACTCGAAGGAAATTTGCCGAACTGTTCCACTTAAGTTTCATGGTCACTCGAGTGCACAAGGAATACCCACTATGAGGTACGTTTATTAAGTAACAAAATTAACTAACAAATTTATTTAGTAACAAATTTACTAAACAACAAAATTATTAAGTACCGAATTTATTAAGTAACAAATTTATTAAGTAATAAAATTATTAAGTAACGAATTTATTTAGTAACATATTTATTAAAGTAACAAAATAATTAAGTAACGAATTCATTAATTAAGTAACAAATTTATGAAGTAACAAATTCATTAAGTAACAAATTTATTTAGTAACACATTTATTAAAGTAACAAAAGTATTAAGCAACAAATTTATTAAGTACCGAATTCATTAAACACCGAATTTATTAAGTAACAAATTAATTAATTAATTAATTAACAAATTGATTAAGTAACAAATTCATTAATTAATTAAGTAACAAATTGATTAAATAACAAAATTATTAAGTAACAAATTTATTAAGTACCGAATTAATTAAATACCGAATTTATTAAGTAACGAATTTATTAAGTAATAAATTCATTAAGTAACAAAATTATTAAGTAACAAATTTATTTAGTAACATATTTATTAAAGTAACAAAATAATTAAGTAACGAATTCATTAATTAATTAAGTAACAAATTTATTAATTAACAAATTTATTAACTAACAAATTCATTAAGTAATAAAATTATTAAGTAACGAAATTATTAAGTAACAAATTTATTAAGTAACAAATTGATTAAGTAACAAAATTATTAAGTAACAAATTTATTAAGTACCGAATTAATTAAATACCGAATTTATTAAGTAATAAATTCATTAAGTAACAAAATTATTAAGTAACAAATTTATTTAGTAACATATTTATTAAAGTAACAAAATAATTAAGTAACGAATTCATTAATTAATTAAGTAACAAATTCATTAATTAATTAAGTAACAAATTTATTAATTAACAAATTTATTAACTAACAAATTCATTAAGTAATAAAATTATTAAGTAAAAAAATTATTAAGTAACAAATTTATTTAGTAACAAATTTATTAAAGTAACAAAATTATTAAGTAACAAATTTATTAAGTACCAAATTCATTAAGTACCGAATTTATTAAGTAACGAATATATTAAGTAACAATTAAATATGGGCTATTGTCTAATAAAGAGATTAATAATATATTAAGTAACAAATTTATTAAATAACAAAATATATTTGTTGATAGAGTACAAAATCGGAAGTAGATTTTTTTTGCCAAAAGATATATGGTGAAGTCCGCGTCAAATCGATCAAGATTTTTTTGATGGAATGGGATTTGGCTATAAATTGGCTGAAATAATACTACTATAGTAACATAAAAAATCCCCAAATATTTTTTCAAAATTTTTAAAAATGGCGGAGATACGGGACTTTTTAGTTTTAAGCAACATTTTTTTTGAAACGCTATAACTTGAGTTCTAATTATTCGATTTTTATTTTCAAAGTCGCTAATGATTTGTTTCTAGATATACTATTAAAAAAAAAATTAAAAAATAAAAAAAAAATTTTTTTGAAAATTTTGGGGGTAAAAATTTTTTTTGATTTTCGTTTTTGAAAATACGTCATTTTTAATTTTCTTAATTTTTTGGTCAAAAGAAGCTATAAGTGTAATTGACAAGTCCTGAAAGTTTCATCGTGGGACCGCCAGTAGTTTCGGAGAAAAAAAATAAAATGTAATTTCGGTTTACATTGACTGTACTTACGCATTGATTGGCTTGTAACGATGGACTTGTCCTTTTTTTCTAGATCATTAAATTTTTTTGTTTTCTTTAATTTTTAAAAGTTTTTTTGTTTTTTTCTTAATTTAAAAAATGTTTTTTTGTTTTTTTTGAATTTAAAAATTTTTTTTTGTTTTTTTTTAATTTTAAAATTTTTTTTTGTTTTTTTTAATTTTGAAATTTTTTTTTGTTTTTTTTAATTTTATTATACGTATATACAAAAAGTAAATGAATATTGCATCACTGTAAGGGCTTTTATTAAACTTTACGTCGCTTACGTGTCTTATTCTGATTTTTAAAGACAGGAACTACTGTAAACTCATCAGAATTGGAAAAAGGTTTAGTCTTTACTTCCGATAATGAAACAGGAATGACAGCATGTACTTGTTGTGTACCTTCAATTGTCATCGCATTGTTAAACCTCTCTTTCAGAAATATTTCTTCGGATGCATATTCTTCTTTAGAGCAAAATTCAACACAAATATCATTGAAGTGTGTTTTTGCCCAGTCATACATTTCTTTTGCGTTTGTAATTTGGTTATCATATGGTCTTTGAATGTTTGTTCTAGCAGCTGATCTTTTAAGAATACCTCCGATCCCATCGCAAGGTCCTTTGCCATGGGCAGTTGCATGAAAATGCCATTCTGCCTTACAGCCAAAATCTTGCTCGTGCAAAGTTAAATTAGCAAAGTTTTTTTCGGTTTTTATACTGAGCAGCACAACCATCTGAAAAGTATAATACTAAATTTATGTTAACCTCTAACTTCGCACGTAGGAAAATCAATAGTTTTTTTTGAAATAGATGTACGGCGATCGTGTTATGCTCTTTTATATCAGATATTATAGCATAACTGATATGTTTTAAATCTCCTTCACTTGTTCGATAATATACCACAAATGGATGAATGGTTACTTGTGTTTTTGACCAATGTTTGCCTTGAGAGGAATCTTGTAAATCAATACTATGATTTTCTGCAAAATCTAGTTGAACAAGGAACTGACCAATTGATAAATTAGATTTTATAGTTTCAATATACATACCTTGTTGTTTCGCTATAAAATCATGACGAAGAAGTCGTCTTGCATGTTCACTTATTTTATTAACAAATTCATCAACAGGTACAATAATTGTTTCGAGGTCTGATCGATCTGTTGTGATCCACTGTTTTATTATGACTTGTGTAATATCTTTTTGTACGTAAGCTTGTTCTAAAAGAATTTTGAGATTCTCGTCACCTGGGCAATTTGGACATTGATTAAAATAGCAATCAATTTGTGCAGGATTACAAATTGATTGTGCCATCCACTGCTGAACGGTTGAAAAAGGTAGAGAATTAGAAATCGCTAATTCACTTATTTTTCCACCAATAAACATAAGTTTAGCATTTTGGTGGATAACACAAACACAAACGTTGTGTGTGCCACTTGTTCCAGCTAGAACACATTCTTTGGGTCTCAACTCCGCAAATTTTGTAAACCCGATTTTTTGTTCACTGGTACCTGCATAAGTCATCTTATAAGCTTCATACAATTCTCTTAAGTTACATAGAATTAAACGCTTCTGAACATTTTTTCTTTGCCCATCAACTTTAATTGATACGCAATCACTTTTACCGGGCATTATGCGACTGTTGTTATCGTCTCTATAAAAAGCTTCAACATTCAGTACTTTTTCATCTGACAAAGTTTTACCTATTTTATGATCTGGAGTTGATAAAAAGCCTTTAGATTCAATCAATTCTTTCGATTTAGAAGCCATATGAAATGAAGTTTCAAATTCACGTTCAATCTTTCTTATTGTCCAACTATTTGGTAAAATTGTCAGTAAAGATATTTGTTTTTCTTTATTTTCAATTTTTTTGAAGCATTCTTTTAAATGAGTTATAAGTTCGTCATCTTTTGTTTCGATAATTTGATCAAAAAGTTTTCGTTGAATCGTTTCACATACTTTTTTGGAAATGTCTTTTTTTTGTTTTTTAGTTTTTATTTCAGAGAAATTAATCTCTTTTTCGCCAAGGATTCGCAAACAAGAATTCAAAGAAAGAAAGGCATTTCCTTTATCAATCTTTTTAAATTCAATATTATTTTCTAATAAATTATCATTATCGACTTTCAAATCATTTTTGTTTAACGGTTCATCATCTTCGATTTTTTGTGAAAAATCTGTGTTTTTAACTTCTTTAGTAAAAATTTGTCCGCCAGAAAGTTTCTTACGACAACTATCACAGAGAAAATTATCTTTTGAAATTTGCGGAAATTTTTCAAAAATTTGTTGCGAAACATGTCGAAGATTTTTAGTTATTCTGTCGTGATTAGTAAGTTCAAAAGGATTAAAACACTTTTTAACATAAGACATTTTAGATTAAGTAACTCTAATCCACACAAAATATACAATTAAAAATGATATATTTTCTATGCTAGTCAACTAACACTATACCTCATATAATGATAAAATACTGTTAAAACGATTTAATAAGACCGCCGGTATCACAAACATAACATTTTTATCACATTGTTCGTCTGCACAGTTAAGAAAGTTACATTTGTTTTTAATTATGTTAACCTGTACGGAATTTCATCAACAAAGTATCAATAAAATATGATTTAAATTAAATTTCCAATTTCATAAACGATCCTGTACCAACAAACGTTGTACCTGCTAAATGCCGCCTTGCCATCATAGTCGTGGTCTAGGATACTTTCAGTAAATTGCACTTGTAGCTTCTTTTAAAAAAAATATTTTAAAGATTAAAAATAATCTAGTTTCAAATAGAAAAAAAAAATTTCAAAAAAAAATTTCCAAAAAAAAAATTTCAAGAAAATATTAAAAAAATTTTTTTTTAATTATAAATTTTTTTTAAAATTTTTTTTACATCTTATATCTAAAAAAAAATTTTTTGACACTTTATTATTGAAAATTAAATCATCTGAACGAAACTCATAGTGTTACAAACCATTATGTAGGTACAGTCAATGTGAACCGAATTTACATTTTATTTTTTTTCTCCGAAACTACTGGCGGTCCCACGATGAAACTTTCAGGACTTGTCAATTACACTTATAGCTTCTTTTGACCAAAAAATTAAGAAAATTAAAAATGACGTATTTTCAAAAACGAAAATCAAAAAAAATTTTTACCCCCAAAATTTTCAAAAAAATTTTTTTTTTATTTTTTAATTTTTTTTTTAATAGTATATCTAGAAACAAATCATTAGCGACTTTGAAAATAAAAATCGAATAATTAGAACTCAAGTTATAGCGTTTCAAAAAAAATGTTGCTTAAAACTAAAAAGTCCCGTATCTCCGCCATTTTTAAAAATTTTGAAAAAATATTTGGGGATTTTTTATGTTACTATAGTAGTATTATTTCAGCCAATTTATAGCCAAATCCCATTCCATCAAAAAAATCTTGATCGATTTGACGCGGACTTCACCATATTTAAAGGGACAAAAATATTTTTTTCAGATACGTGCCGGTTGACGATCTTTTCACAGCTTCCGAAACAAAGAATTATTGTTACTGTCAGCGAGTAAGGGACAAGGAGAAAAAGGTATTTTCGAAAGCCTCATGTCCACCAATGGGAGTATTCAATGCCTCGGCCTGCAATTTTGGAATGCCGACATTAACATCCTACCCTCATTTTTATCAGGGTGATAAACTTCTCATTGAACAATTCGATGGTCTCAATCCACAGAAGGAATTACATGAAACTTTCATCGATTTGCATCCAGTGAGTTAAACTTTTACCATAAATAATATCTATTTAAAAAAAAAAATTAATTATAACTGAACCTTTGGGATTTTTTACTAAAATTTAATTTTTTCTATTTTTCCTTTTAAATCTAATTTTTTTTTCAAAATGTTTATTCTGATTTTCTTCCTGAAACGAAAGAATATTCTGATTCACTCTACAAATGATTAGATACTCAACAAAAATGTTCCAATACATTTATTTCAATACATTCCAATACATTTATTTACGAATTAAATTCAATTAAAAATTTCTATAATTTTTAAATAAAATTCTTCTTTAAATCAACTGTTTTTAATATTTTTTGAAAAAGTTCTATTTGAGAATTTTTAAATCAATTTTTTACAATTCAATTTTACCAAAAATTTCGATTATTCGGCAATACTTCAATTAAATATATAATAGAAAATAAAAACTTCAAATAATTTCAAACAAAAATTTAATTAAACTTATTTTAAAAAATTAATTCCATATACAGAATTATTAGATAAAAGTATGAAAAATTCAATTTTTTAAAAATTTTAATTTGAAACCTTTTCAAAATTAAATTATTTCTAAAAATACATGCTATGTTTTTAATATTCAATTATAATTTACAAATTTTAACTTAGAATTCATTTTTAAATAAATTTTTATTAAAAAATTTTACGAAAATTCAATTATTTGAATAGAAAAATAAATAATTTTTTTAATAAATTAAATGAGAATTATATTAAAATTTTTTTAAATAACAGACATTTAAAAATCATTTAATTGAGGAAAATTTTTTAAAATAATTGAATTTCGGAGAAAAATTTTGTTATTTATAAAAATAATTGAATTTTTTACAAGAATTTAAAAAAATTTTGGAACATAATTGAATTTTTGCGAAGAATTTTATTACTTTTGAAAATAATTGAATCCCTGTAAAAAAATTTATTATTTATAAAATAATTGAATTATTGCGGAGAATTTTATAAAAAAAAATGTGTAAATAATTGAATTCCCGTGAAATTTTTATTATGTATGACAATAAAAAGTAAATGTTTGCGTATAGAATTGAATTGAAATTCTTTTAATTGAGGAAAAAATTTTTGTAAATAATTGAAATTTTGCCAAGAATATTATATTAAAATTTTTGAAAATAATTGAATTTCAGAGAAAAATTTTGTTATTTATAAATAGAATTGAATTTAAAAAAATTTTTGAACATAATTGAATTTTTGCAATCATTTGTAACTTCTCCAAAATTTAATTTTTTTTTAATTTTTTAACATTTAATACACCAGGTTAGTTTTGAATAAAACCTTTTGAAAAAGAATCTAAATAAAAAAAAAAATTAGACAAAATTTTATAATTGACAAAAGGAAAAAAACACTTTTTTTAACAATCTTCACTTCATTGAATGAGTAAAAATACTGGAACTATCTTACAAAAAAGAATAATATTTTTCTCGATAGTAAACATCGGTGGCACCACTTTTTCTCTAATCGAAAAAATGATAACAATGATAAATTTTAATCACCATCGTACGATGTCTTTTGAAAATTAGCATTTTTTTGTTAATTCACGAGAAATATCGTTTTTAAAACAAAAATAAATTTTTTTTTGAAACAAAAGAATTTTTTCTTTTGTTGTTTTGTCAATTTAATACGCCAGGTTTCTTTTAGAATAAACATAATATTTTGATAAAATTTAGATTCATAACATGTGTGCAATTTAATAATTAATTTTTAAACAAAGGACATTTTTTTTCTATAAACAAAAAAAAATCTTTTTCAATATTCAATATTTGCAATTAATCCTCTGCTGTTGCTAAAGATCGTTATCATCAAAATCAAAAATATGAGGCTGAAGTCCGCAGCGTTTTTATAAAAACGAAAAATAAAAAAGAAATTTTTTTCCAAGTTAAATTCAGCTTTAATTTTCATATTCGTTAATTTTTGAGAAATTAATTGTTTCTTAGGAGACAGTTGTTAAAAAATAACATCATGATTTTTAATCAAAAATAAGAAAAACTGTTGGATTATTTTTTTGGTTTTCGTTTTTTAAAAACGTTACGGATTTCAGCCTTATATTTTTGATGATAACGATCTTTAGCAACAGCAGAGGATTAACTGCAAACTTTTAAGCAGAATTAAGTTTCATCAAAAATCGTCAAATTTAAAACTAATTAATTCTAATTTTTAAAATTACCAAAATTTACAAAATTAACAAAATTAACAAAATTAACAAAATTTACAAAATTAATAATTAACAAATTAATTAAATTCTAATAAAGAAAATCTAATTCTTGCAGCACTTGGGAGTTCCGATTGGCGGACATTCGCGAATACAACTAAATCTAGAGGCACGTAAAGCAGACGGTGTGCCATATTTTGGAAAAATTAAGGACGGTACGATATTGCCCCTTATGTGGATGGAAGCTGCAATTGAAAATATTCCCGATCCAGTGCTCAGTCTACTTTCACATGCTTATTACACTGTCAATATTGTCGATCAAATATTCAAATGGGGTAGCGTTGTTTCACTAATTTTATCACTAGCATCACTCTATCATATATTGCGAAAGAAACAATTAGAAAAGCACATTGTTCTGCACAGAAATACTTCCGGTCAAAATCCACTTCTCTAAAAATGAGGAGGAAAAAAAATTTTTTTTTTTACATTTACAAAAATACGAATTTACAAAAAAACGTATAAAATTTATTTTTGTATAATAAATACAAAAGGAAGGAAGTAACTTTAATCGCTGGAACGATTAAAAACAAAATATTCCATCTCTTAATTTTGATGACGCACTCTTGGTACGTTCTAGATACCAATATATTTAATACACTATAAAATAATTAAAATTTAAATAATAATTCTAAGAATAATAACATCATTCATTGAAAATCGTATATATATACAGAAAAATTTGAATTTCACTCGAAAAAAATTCTCTTTTGTTCAGCAAATCGTTTTGTGAACTTATTTTAGCGAATTAACTGTAGAAGATTAGAAGACTAGTAATCTTGCTATCATCATTTAGTCAATTTTCGTAAAAACAATAATTCAAGAATTTAAAGAGACGCTGGAACCGCCTCTCGCGATTAATATTTTGATTCCTTTTATTTTTATCTAAAATCCGCTCTTTTAAACTTTTTTTTGTTTAAATAAATTCAAACGCAATTAATTTCGTTATAAATTAAATTAAATTTTAAACCAAATTAAATTAAATTTTAAACTAAATTAAATTTTAAATGAAACTAAATTAAATTTACAAATTAAATTAAATTTTAAATGAAATTCAATTAAATTTACAAATTAAATTAAATTTTAAATGAAATTAAATTTAATTTACAAATTAAATAAAATTTTAAACGAAATTAAATTTAATCTAAAAATTAAATTAAATATGAAAAATAATAAAAATAAATAAAATATAAATAATAAAAATCATAAAATAATATTAGTAAACAAAATAATAGTAATACATATTAATAAAAAATAAAAAAAATAGATGAATAATTTTTTCTCACAATCAAATAATATAAACATAAAGTCTAAATATTTTAATGGCAAAAACTTTTTTAGTATTTAACTGATAGTATTATCATTGTCAACAATGCATAATTGCCATTAATTTATAAATTTATTGACTCCATTACATAAGAGCGGATTTTTACTTTTTCATCCCTTAAATTTTTTGTACCCATGAATAAATTTCCATTTAAAAAATGACAAGAAATATTAATTTGCTTTCTTAAGAGTAAAATAAATGAAAAGGGTAACGCAACTTCGAGCACAATTGTGATCTAGTTAATTCTAATTAATTATTAATTAATGTATGCTCAATTAAGAAATAATGCGCCTGATCTAAGACTGTTTCTTATAATAATAAAAAAAAAAAAATAATAATAATAATAATAAAAATAATAGTAAAAATAATAATAATAGTAGGTAATAATATATATTATATTATAATAAATAAGCTACTTAAATAAACTAAGAAAAATATTTTCTCTAGATGGGTCTATAGTTGCTAAGTAATAATTTATAAACAAAACTTTGTTTCTCTAAAAAATATTAAATTAATTAAATTAATTAAATTAATTAAATTAATATTAATTAATTTATGTATACTGAAAAATATTTATTGAAATGATTTTAATAAATAGTGTTATTTAATAATTAAGTAGATAAATTACGTTTTAATATTTTTGTCTCTATAGAGAGAAATTGTAAATATGTTATTTAATATATAAATATCAATAAATATTTAATATCGAGTAAATAAATATTTACTATATAAAACATAAATAAATAAATATTTATATTTATTTTATATAAGTAAAAAATATATATTTTTATTATAATAATATAATTATTATAAATTTATAATACAAAATTACCAATAGATAATAAATATTATTCGACCAAAAATATTTATATTCATTTCAAATTAATTAATCAGTTAATTAATTAATTTTTTGTATAAATAAAAAATATACATTATAATAACTATTAATATTAATTATAATAAACTATTAATAATTATACCAAAATATAATAAATATTATTCGACAAAAAAAAATTTGAATAAAATTTATTTTTCTAAATTAAATATAGTTTCATTAAATTAAACAAAAAAAATCAAACTTGTATCGAGAAACAGAGAGAGAGAGAGAGGTCAACTTTTTATTCATCGTTCTCTTCCGATAAAAATTTCCTTTTAAGTTTCAAAGATTTATATCTCTTCGCGGAAAAGAGTTGATGCAAATTTTTATCGTTAATTGTATCTTTTCTGTCATTTTATATATTCATTCATAAAAAAAAATAATCATCATCATATTAAATGAATGAATATTCTTTCATTTCTGTATTAATTTAGTTGGGGCATTTGAAAAAATCATTGATATACGATTGTCAGGGTTATCAAATTTTGCAACAAGATTTCTTTCTTACTAAATAATTTTAGCAATACAACAAATTATAAATTTCTTTTCATTTCCATTATGTTGAAAAATCCGCTCATTAAAAATGAAAAGAAAAAAATATTTGAATTAATTATTAATTAATTATTATTAATTAATTAATTAATTAATAATTAATTAATTAAAAATTAACTAATTTGAATTAACTAATAAATTATTAATAATGTTTTCCATTTATATTAATAACTATATTATTAGTTATTACTAATAATTGTTATTAATATTATTAATTGTTACTAATATTAATTATAATAATTAATAAAAACTATTAATATTAATTATTAAAAGAAATGAATTTAATTTCAATAGGAAAATAGGACAAAAATTTTTTTTCTACATAAAAATAATCGGCGGAAGTAAAAAAAAAAAAATAAAAAAAACTCCCGCAATTATTTTGTTAATAACAATTGATAATTATTGTTTATTTCAAAGTCCCTATAATATTGTTTACAGGATATTGAAAATAAATTCTTACAAATACAATTATGTTATATTATTTGGCATGTTTTGATCTTTATTGTACAAAAAAAGTAGATTTACCTATCGATCTTATGCCTATAATTAATTAATAAAACATATACAAAGATATAATTATTTTTATTATATTATAATATATAATAATCGGACGGAGAGCATTTATTATTTTTTTCTTTTTTGTTCCATAAAATTTCAAACGTGCAAATTTTTGTTACATATTTTTTTTTTTTAACATTTCATGTACACAAACATTTTTTCACAATTAGGCATAAAAGTGAAAAATTCACACTCTGATAAAAATTATTTGTTTACAAATAAAATTTATTACCTATTTTATATAAATTTATACAAAAAAACGCTGCAGCATTTTTTTTTTTTTTTTTGATAAGAAAAATTTACAAAAAGTAAATTTTTACACTCCAGTAATTAAAAAAGAGAAATAATAAATTTTACGCTATTATTTAATTAATTAACTAATTTTATTGGTTCATATTAACTAATTTTGTCAAATTAACTAATTATTAATTATTTTCGATAATTTTCTTTTTGAGTTTTTCACAATTTTTGAAATTCTTTTCTGGTTTAACTGCTAATTCGGTAATCAATTAATTAATCAATTAACAACTAATTAATTAAGCCTTAATTAATAAATTAATAACTAATTAATTGACTCCTAATTAATCAAGTCCTAATTAATTAATAACTAATTAATTGACTCTTAATTAATCAAGTCCTAATTAATTAATAACTAATTAATTAAGCACCGATTAATTAACAACTAATTAATTAAGTGCCAATTAATTAATTAACAATTATGTCTGTTAATTACCTAGTTAGTAAATAATTACATAAATTAACTTCACAATTAGTTAACAATTATGTTAATTAATTGTTCAATAAATTGTAAAATTAATTATTAATTTTGTTTAACTACAAAATACAGAGTTGAACATTCCTCTTGACACTTTAACCCTTTCTTCAGGAAATGATAAAAGACTCATTGTCGCAGTAATAATATTGAAGAATAAATAAGAAAAGAAAAATTATTGTCAACTCAGTGAATAAAAAAAAATTTTTGTAAATAATTACGATAAAAAAGGGAAAAATTTTTTTCGAAATAAGAAAAAAAATTTTTTTTTAATGACAAAATTTTAGATAAAAAAGAGAAAAAAAAATTTGTGTTGACTAGACGTTATCATTTGTATCGTTATTCGAGGGTCAAACTGGTGAAAATGTTCCTCTCAAAATAACGATACACTGCGCGAAAATAATATTTTTTTTTATCATATATTCATACTTTATTTTAATTCACACTTTAATCTGGATTTGCTTATTATGTTTGAATAAAAATTACGTATTTTTAACATTCGACATTTATAAGATTATTTACAAGTGATTTTTTTTAATACTCTTTTCTCGATAAAAACTTTAAAAGACTAAATTTTCCTTAAAGTTGTCGATAATTCAAAATAATAAATTCTTAATGATATAATAATAATAATAATAATAATAATAATAATAATAATAATAATAATAATAATAATAATAATAATAATAATAATAATAATAATAATAATAATAATAATAATAATAATAATAATAATAATAATAATAATAATAATAATATTAATAATTACCAAAGTTATAATAATTTATTTACTCCCCCTGACAAATAATAATTTATATTCATTTTTTTAATATTATTTTTTTAATTATTATTAATAATATTATTATTTAGTTAATTGTGCGCTAATAACAATTTTTTAATTGCGTTTATTATTTTATTATTTGTCTTCTAAACAATTATTTTCTGTTTTGTAAATAATTAACAATTTAATAACTTTTATAACTTAAATAAATAAATTTCAAATGAGAATATATTTTCTATAAGAAAAAAAATATAAAATACTTAATTGTCTCTAATGATCGATTGATTAATTTTCTAAAGTTGTTCCAATTAAAATATTGTCTTTTTTTCCTTTTTGGGGTTCAAGAGTCAAATCTTTGTTAACCGAAAGGAGTGTAAAAACCGGTTGTCCTTCAGATTCTTGTAAATGCATGAATCTAGTTTTATTTTTTATTCCATGTTTTTTTCGCGTGCAGCGCAATGATAAAATATTCAGTTTATTATTGAAAGATCAAAAAGTGGTCTTAAAAGAAAAGAAGATTTTTCTTATATTTTAATAGAAATTACGGACTGTTTATATTTACAATTTTTTATATAATAACAATGTTAATTAATAATTATAATTAAAAATTGTAATTAACAATTATAATTAATTATAACAATTATAATTAACTATAATTCTAATTAATAGTAATTATAATTATTATTAGTTATGATTATAATTATAGTTAAAATAATTATTTTCTAAAATAATTATTTACTAAAAGAATTATAATTTACGATTATTTACTAATCATAATAATTATCAATTATCATTACATTAAACTAATTACTAATTTAGAATTAGACTCAATAATAATTATAATTAATTAAATTAATTGAAATTGTATTTATTGTTAATTATTAATTATAATTATTATTGATTACAAATTCTAGAATTGTCCAACTAAATATGATGGCTGCACAAATATAATCATTCATTGACAATTACTTATCCTATAATATAATAATTTTCCTAATTTGGTTTTTTTTTTTAATTTAAAAGATATTGTTTTTACGCTCTTAGTGTCTTTATAATCCATTATTTTAGAATCAATTTTCCTTCTGCATTGAGAATGAATGCTTAAATGTTGCATCATAAATTCCTTTTCACTTTATTATTTTTTTGTTTATATATCAATTATTTCCTATAAGAAACTAATTTCATATGTGTATTATAAATTTTTGTAAAAAGCAACAACAACTTTTTTTTCTAAAATATTTTAATAATAATTAAACTGGTATTTAAAACGAGAACAATTTCTATTTATTTTTTGTGTCTTTGTGTATTAAATTTATATTAATTTTTGCTTCGAGTATTTTTTTCCCCTTTTCTGATTTAATTAGGCTTTTATTCGTTTAATTAATTTTTGTTTCGAATTAATATTTACTTTCTATTATTAAAAATAATTATTAACTTTTATAAAGTTTTTCATAATTTCATAAATTATTATTAACTTTCATAAGGATTTTCATAATTTCATAAATTATTATTGACTTTTCATATTTTTATATTTATACAAAAATTGCAGTGCTTGAATTTTTTTTCAGAATAAATTAACTAATTGAAAAAAATTAGGCACGTTAATAGATGAGCATTCGGAGAACCTATAAAATATTTGAGCAATTGTTTCTTCAGTGATGTGCAAAATAAATAAAATTAAATAGTTTAAAATACATTTTTTTAACAGAGAAATTATTTTTTTCTTTTTTTTTCGTAAATAAAAATTATGTAAAATAATAAAATCGTTATTCATTTGTGTCTTAATCAAATTTCACGTATATATACATAATTAATAAAAAAAATCTATCTAAAAAACTTTTTTCGGAAATGAATAAATTAATAATAAAAAAATGTCACGGTCTCTTTAGATTAATTCCTCATTTTGATCTTTTAATATCTTTACACAAAATCCTATATAAATATTTTTTTAAATTTATTTATAATATTTTTAAATAATTTTATATTTACTTCTCAATAAACAAATTATTTACATTTTTCCTTGTATCTAAATCAGATTTCTGTGGAACTTTTTTTTTGAATTCACATAATTTCGTTTCATAAACTTTCTTTCAGAGAATTAAAATTTTCCGCTAGTTTTACTAGAAATTTTTAACAACAACGATTAAATTTTTAGACTTTTTTTTTTTGGTATTGTAGAAATATTTTTCTAATTTTAATTTTTTATCAAAAAAAAAAATTTACAAAATTCTCCTTTCATCGAAATAAAGTTTCTCAGAGAAAAAAAAAATTCCCCACATGAAATCTGACTTGAAACGACAAAATTTTTCAGTGAATTCAAATGATGCGACATTGAAGATTCAGTCTCAAGAAAAAGTAAAAACAAAAAATCTTCACACAGAAAAAGCCGTTCATTGGAGGACGAAAAAAATAATATCGGGTGATATGAGCAGGTCCTTCCGAATAAACGACTTGGAGAGAAGAAGGGGGAAAAATAAATATCACGTCATGTAGGCTACATGATACGGGTACAAGAAAAAGAAAGAGAGAAGGAGAGAGACGAAAGGGGTAAATTTAACCGCGAGGCGCCAATGACGTTACGTGTAATATAAATATGCGCGGGGTAAAATGAAAGAAATTAGTCCAACAAGCACCGGTTCGACCGGTAATCGCAGACCAAGAAAACTGCCGAAGGACTCTCGTTCGTTCCATTCGGCTTGAAAATAAAAAAAAAGACGAAAAAAAATTGAAAAAAGATAAAAAAGGAGACAAAAAATAAAAAAAAGAAGTTAAAAAAGATGAAAAGAAGATAAAAAAGATCTAAAAACAAAAAAAGATAAAAAAGAAGACAAAAAAGTGAAAAAAATAAAAAGAAGACTAAAAAAAATAAAAAGAAGACAAAAAAAGGTAAAAAGAAGACGAAAAAAGATAAAACAAGCAAAAACAGTGAAAAAAAGATAAAAAGAAGACGAAAAAAGGTAAAACAAACAAAAACAGTGAAAAAAGATAAAAAGAAGAAGACAAAAACAAAAAATGTCAAAAAAAAACAAGAGACAAAAAAATAAATAAATACAAAAAAAGCGCCAAATTTTATGACAGCGAAATAAAAAGCAGAGCGAAGATCGCTGTCGTTAAAAAGCTCTTTGAGATCGTGCTTTGGTGCCTCGCGCAGAATTCTCGGAATTTAAACGCATATATTCTCAAAAATTTGATCATCACCTTTTCTTGAGGATCAGATTTTTTTTTTCTTTCTCATTTTCTTTGCTGAAAAAAAATTTTTTTTTTTTAATTTCAGACATTCTATTTTGGATTCTGGAAGGCTGGATTTAGTTGATCATTTTTTGTGGCACTCGATGGCAATGGTGTCGTGAGATGTAATTTTTCCTGACGTTTTGCCGCCCTCGCGAGACAGAATAATGCTCCCACGAGAATAATCAGACCAATAATGCCCATTGCACCGCAAAGCGCAGCTCTTGCGACTGGCGGAAGTTCGACTGCCAATCTGATCAGTGAGATAACTTCCTTAGGCAGTTCGTCGATACCCTGGAAAAATTAATTTCGATATTTAATTTCATTCATTAACCAAAAAAAAAAAAAAACAGAAAAAACAAAAAAAAAACTAAATTAACCAGAAATTAATATTTCAAACGATTTAAACGTTCAAAGAACAACGATATTTTTGGTAGTATTTTTCTGTAAAAAAAAATCACTTTGTGAATTAGAAATTGAAAAAATAATTTAAATAAGTAAATTTTTAATTGCATTATTTTTCATTCCATTGTCGTTATTTTTTAAAAAATTTCCACGAAGAACAATTTTCAGGGTTATCACAAAAATTTAATTTTGTTTTTCCCAGACTTTTTCCTGACTGATTTTGACTTTTTCCCTGACCCCAAAGAATATTCTGATTAACTCTAAAAATTATTGAATACACAAAAAAATGTTCTATTACATTTCTTTACAAATTTCTTCAAAAGTAAAATTATTCAAAAACATCAAGAACTTAATTTTAAAAAAAAATTTCAATAATTATTAGTTTTATATAGAAAAAATTTTTTTTTTAAATTTCAAATTCAAAACCTTTTGAAATTCAATAACTGATAAAAATATTATTATTTATTATAAAACATGAAGATGGCCGAGTGATAAAATTATTATTTCATATTATAAGAATATTGTTACTGCAAATTATTCAAAATTATTTTCATCATGTCAATTGAATTATTATTTTCTACAATTTTTAAATAAAATTCTCCTTTAAATCAATTATTTTAAATAATTTTTAAAAAAATTCTTATTTGATAATTTTTAAGTCCATTTGCTTACAATTCAATTTTACGTGAAATTTCGATTATTCGGAAATTCTTCAATTAAATAAACATTAGAAAATAAAAATTTGAAATGATTTTAAAAAATTTCGATTAAGCTTTTTCAAGAAAATTAGTCCCATAGAATTTTTAATTACAAGTATAAAAATCATGTACTTTTAATTATAGTGTTAGTGTTAAACACTATAATTAAAAGTAAAAATTTAGATTTTCAAACATTTTCATTTGAAACCTTTACAAAATTCAATTATTTCTAAAGATTGCAATTATTAGTAAATTCTCCAAAATTCAGTTATTATCTAAAATTTTTACTGAAATTAATTTTTAAATCAATTTTCAATAGAAAATTCTTCGAGAATTGAATTAATTAAATACAAACATAGATAATTTATCATGAATAATTGAATTAAAATTGAATTCTAATTCTAATAATTTTATCAACAAATTATTAAATCATTTAATTCCTTCGAAGAATTTTAATAAGATTTTTAAGAATTAAAAAAATTTATTATTAAAAATTAAATTAATTAAATAAAAAATAATTAATTTCAATTATTAAAAATAATTGAAATTCTGTAATGAGTTTTATTATTTATGAAAATAATTGAATTATTGCGAAGAATTTTATAAAAAAGTTTTCAACAATTGATATTTTTTGGAAAAAATTCATGCAAATTCTATTTTTAATAATTGAATTCCTGTGAAATTTTCATTATTTTAGAAAATAATTGAATATTCGTGTAGAATTTTGTCAGAATTTTCTTTAAATAATTGAATTCTTTTTGGAAATTTTATTAAAATAATAGATATACAAATTGTTGAACTAAGACAAATTTTTGAAAATAATAGAAACTTTGCAATGAATTTTATTAAAATTCCTAAATATAGTAGGAATTTTATTAGTTTTGAAAATAATTGAATTCTTGTGATGAATATTGTTATATATGAAAATAATAGACTTCCTCCGAATGATTTTATTATTTATGAAAATAATTGAATTCTTTCAACAAATTTTATTAAAATGTTTAAAAATAATTGAATTCCTAAGAAGAATTTTAAAATGTTTAAAAATAATCAAATTTCTGAGAAGAATTTCATTATTTATAAAAATAGTTGAATTCTTGCGAAGAATAAATTTTATAAAAATCTTTTTAATTAATTGATTTTTTTCGAAAAATTTCATGAAAATTGTGTTTCAATTAATTGAATTCCTGTGAAAACTTTATTAATTATGAAAATTATTGAATGTTTGCAAAAAATTTTATTAAATTTTTTTTTATCCTAATAATTGAATTCTTTCGAAGAATTTAAAAAAATAATTGAATTTGACGATTAATTTATTTAAAATTGTATAAAAAATAATTGAAATCCTGCGATGATTTATATTAGTTATAAATATAATTGAATTTAGCCACGAATTTTATTAAAAATTTTTAAAAAGAATTCCTGTGAAAATTTTATTATTTATAAAAATTATTGAATGTTTGCAATAAATTTTATTAAATTTTTTTTATCGTAATAATTGAATTTGACGATTAATTCATTTAAAATTGTATAAAAAATAATTGAAATCCTGCGATGATTTATATTAGTTATAAAAATAATTGAATTTAGCAACGAATTTTATTAAAATTTTTAAAAAGAATTGAATTTCTAAGAAGAATTTCATTATTTATAAAAATAATTGAATTCTTGCTAAGAATTTTATGAAAATCTTTTAAATTACTTGATTTTTTTCGAAAAATTTTATGAAAATTGTGTTTCAATTAATTGAATTCCTGCAAAAATTTCATTATTTATGAAAATGAAAGAATATTTGCAATGAATTTTATTAAATTTTTTTATCCTAATAATTGAATTCTTTCGAAGAATTTTTAATAATAATTGAATTTGACGAGTAATTCATTCAAAATTGTATAAAAAATAATTAAAATCCTGCGAATTTTGTTAAAATTCTTAAAAATAATTAATTTTCTGAGAAGAATTTCATTATTTATAGAAATAATTTACTTCTTGCGAAGAATTTTATACAAATCTTCTAAAATAAATAATTTTTTTTTTGAAAATTTTACGAAAATTGTGTTTTATAATTATTGTCAGAAATAGAAAAAATTGAAGGTTTTTTAGAGTTCGTAGTAATTTCATAGTTTATGAGGCAAAGAAAAAGTCATAAAAATTCAGAATTTTTTTATAAATTTTAAACAGTTAATTTTTTCCAGTTTTTACCTTTTTTCTAGATTTGTAGCAACTTTATTTTTATAAATAAAGTTTCAAAAATTTAGGAAAATAAAAATTAGGCAAAATAAAGAGGAAAATTTCAAAAAAAAAAAATTATTTTCTCCTTTCACTATAGAAAAAATGATGAAAAATAAAAAGTTCTACATTGAAATCATATAGAAGACGGAAAATTTCTCTATAGGGAAATTTCTCTATATGGAGAAATTAAATATTCAAAAATTAAATAGCAAAATTAAAACCACTGAAAATTGTTTGCTGGTCTGCATATAATTAAAATTTAAGATCACAAGCCAACTTGCAATGCAATCCATCGCTCTCTCGATGATTTTTATCATCTGCACATGATGGGAATTCACTATTACTCAACCTCAACTATACTTGAAAACAAGTTTTTCGTTCTCAGAAACTGACACCGAGCTCACAGAGTTCATCCAGCTTCTTGCTTCTTTTTTTATTTTCATTTTTAAAAATATTTCAAGTGTAAATAATTTTTAGATTCACAACCAAAAAATAATATATATTACAAATCAAAAAAGAAAAAAATATTCAAAACAAAAATATTACAGTTGATAAAAATATTCCATAAAGAAACAGAAAATTTCCTCTTCTTTTTGGCTTTCAGAAGTAAATTTTAAAGATATTTTTTTTTTTTTGGGAGAAAAATTTAAAAAATGCACTTCTTGTTTAATTCTCCTTTTTTTACTTACATCCTCAAACCACATAATGGGAAAGATGATATCAGGGAAGTTAGCGACCTGCTTGATGTCCCTCACTTGGCTTACGGCTAAATTTATTTGAACACGGGCCCTTGCCCTCAGTGCAGTTCCCATTTTTGGTTGGACATCAATAAAAAGTTGATGCTTCTCAGCGTCGGGCGGAGACACACCAATTACTGCTTCTCGCAGTGCAGGATCAGCTAAAAATTATATTACGAATTAGCGAAAAAAGAAATTTACTTGAACTAATTTATAATTTAGAATAATTATTATTACAAACTATCAAATATTTATTTGCTAGTAATTCAATTTATTAATTAAATTCGATATTCAAATTGTATAATAATTCAAGGTTGACACAAAAATTTAAATTTGTTTTTCCCTGATTTCCAGACAAAAATTTTGACTTTTTCCCTGAAACTAAAGAATTTATTATGATTCACTCTAAAAATGATTAGATAATTAAAAAAAAATGATATACTTTTATTTTAATTAATTTAATTTAATAATCTATTAATTTATTAATTTATTTTTATAATTTAATTAAATTAATTAATTTTATTTTTATTTTTTAATAAATTGCAAAAATTATTTGAACATCAATAACTTCATTTCTGAAAAAATATTTAATCATTATTATTTTTCCATAGAAATTAAAATTCTTCAAAAAATTCAAATTCAACTTTATAAGAATTTTTAACTAAATTCTTCTTTAAATCAATTATTTTTAATAATTTTTGAAAAAGTTCTTATTTGAGAATTTTCAAATCCTATTTGTTTACAATTCAATTTTACGAAAAAATTTAGATTATTCGATAATTCTTCAATTAAATATTTATTAGAAAATAAAAAACTTTAAATAATTTTAAAAAAATCCAATTAAAAAATTGGATTTTTCAAAAAAAATTAATTCTACAGAATTGTCTGTTAAAAGCTTAAAAGTAAGAAAAATTCAAAATTTTCAAAGATTTTAATTTCAAAAATCTTTTCAAAATTCAATTATCTAAAAATTTATCCCACAATAATTTTAATAGTCAAATATCTAAAATATTAACTAAAATTCATTTTTAAGTCAATTTTTCTTAAAAAAACATTCTACGATAATTCAATTATTTAAAGACAAAAATAAATAATTTAGGGAATAATTGAATGTTTCTTAAAATTGAATTCTCATGAAGAATTTAATTAACAAATTTTGAAGTAATTAAATTCTGTCGACGAATTTAAATAAAATTTTATTAAAAAATAATTAAATTTTTAATAAAAATTTTATTACTTTTCAAAATAATTGAATTCTTAGAAAAAATTTTAAATTGAAATATTGCTAAGAATTTTATTAAAATTTTTGAGAATTTAAAAAAATTGTATGAACATAATTGAATTTTTGGGAAAAATTTTATTATTTATAAAAATAATTGAATAATATTAGAATTTTTATTAAAATTTGTTTTAAATAATTGAATTCTTTTGGGAAACTTTATTAAAATAGTAGATATTGAAAATCATGAAATTGAGGAAAATTTTTGAAAATAATTTAAATTAACCAAGAAATTTATTAAAAATTTTGAAAATACTTGAATTTTGGAGAAAAATTTTATTATTTAAAAAAGATAATTGTATTTTTTAGAAGAATTTCTAAAAATTTTGTGACATAATTGAATTTTTGGAATGAATTTTATTATATTTATGAAAATAATTGAATTATTCTGAAAAAATTTATAAATAATTGAATTCCTTTAATTTTGTCAAGAATTTTTATTAAAATTATTGAAAATAATTGAATTTCGGAGAAGAATTTTGTTATTTACAAAAATAATTGAATTTTTTACGAGAATTTAAAAAAAATTTTGGACCATAATTGAATTTTTGCGAACAATTTTTATTACATTTGAAAATAATTGAATTTCTGAAATTATTCCTAACTTCTCAAAAATTCAATTATTTCTCAAATTTTGTGCTATAATGCTTTTATTATTCAATTATCTGAAATTTTATCTAGAATTCATTTTTAAATCAATTTTTATTAAAAAATTGTACGAGAATTCAATTATTTGAATACAAAAACAAAAAAGAAATTAAAAATTGGAATTTTCTTATGAATTCTAAAAATTTAATTTTTTTCAAGTGCTTTGAATAAAAATCCCTGATTTCTATGGCAATCCTGTAATTGAATTGAAAAAATAATCTCAAAAATAAAATATGAAATAATTGCAAATAAGTGAAACGTCATGAAGTTAATATGCGCGGACTGTCAACTTGTAACAAAAAGAAAAACTGGAACATCTGAAATAATTCTTAAGAGATTCATGTTTAAAACATGAAGTACATTTGAGATTTTAGAAAGTTATTTATTTTATTTTTTTTTATTCTTCTTCTTCTTTTATCTCTTGTCGAGGGATTTCCTCCGTAATAACGTGACTTTCGTAATTTGTTCGCAAATATGAGAATATAATCCTTATGTGAACAAATAAACCTCTCAATTTGCATCTCTTAATAAAATTACATTATTCCAAAACACAATGAATAATTCATCACATTATTAAAATAAACGAAAAAAAATATTTTTGGTTCAAAATTTTTGTTACATTTTTTTGCCCACTCTTTCTATTTTTGAAATTATTCCTTTTTTTTCAACTAGAAAAAATATTAAAAATTAATTAAATAATATATTAAGTAATATATAAAATAGAGGCAAATAAAAAAAAAGAATAAAGAAAAAAAAACAGTGTCTTTACAAGAGTCGTAATATGTGATAAAAGGGAAAAGTTATTAAAATCTTCTTACATGAGAAAAAAAAATTCTCGTCACACAAAAGGAGAGTATTCGTGAGACAATCAATTCGCATTCTCTCACGCGTCATGATTGTTTCCTAAAAAAAGAAAAATAGGTCTTTTGAAGAGAATAATTGTAAATTATAAAGTCACATTAAAATAGAAGAGTGGGGAATTTTTGTGAAATCGGAAATGCATCCAGATTACGAAAGCCATACGAGAGATAATTTTACGCGTCTACGAACTGCAATTTCCGCTTCAGATACGCACGCGATTCTTTTCCTTATATTTTATTGTTTATTCACATCAATGACTCCTCCCTTATAAAAGAAAAATTAACGATATAATTGAATTTAAATATTAATCCATTTATCCTACTGTAAATTTAAATAATATTTTTATTATAACTACAATAAATAAAATAAAAATAAATTAAAAAATAAATAAATAAATAAAAATAGCTATATTAAAAAAAATATTAAATAAATTAATAAATAAACAATAAATAAAATAATTAATTAAATAAGTAATTAATTGAATAATAAATTAATTGAATAATTAATAAATTAATAAATAAAAATTACGATTTCTGTTTTGCGAAGAAAAGAAAATAATTCGTGAAAATAAAATTATAGATAAAAAAAAATTGCATTCTTACCAAGATAAAAATGTGGAAAACTAAGAAGAACAGGTGATTCATATTGACATAGTGAGACATTGAATGTTCCCTCAGGAGCACAGGGAGGACCTGCTGGACAAAAACATTTATTCGACTCCATTCTTTCAGCGGACGCGAAGACATCTTTCGGCGGTGTGAACCTGTATCCTGGAATTCCTCCAGAAGTAATCACTTCTTTCTGTGAATTATAAAGAAAAAATTCCCATTAAACTGAAATTCCACTTCTTTTATGCATTTCAAGAAAAAAAAAGAAAAGAAAAGAACTTTAAAATTTAAATAATTACTGAACTAAATTTCTTTTCGTCTGAAAATTTCATTATTATCAATAAATAATAACTAATAATCAACAATTAATTATTAATTGATTAAACATAATTTTTATTGTCCGCGCAATATTGAAATTAAATAAATAAAAAATTAATAGTATTTAGTAGCTAATTAACGATTAATTAATTATTAGCTAAAATAAGGCGCGCTAATTATAAACATAATTTTTAATTATATTTATGTATACATAAACGTAATTTAAAAAAATTTTCATTTTCATATTAAATTAGATTTTGAAAATAAAAGTAAAAATTATTATAAGCAAGAAGATGTTAAATGCTTGGATTTTTAAAAACTTTAATAAATTCAAATTCTTCTAAAATTTGTTAAATTTTTTAATATATATTTAATTAATTATTAAAAATAGTGGATTTATAGACAAGTTTTACTCAAAAACACTAAAAAAATTGAATTTTGGAAAAATTATAAATAATTTCATAAATTCAATTATTTTCCAAAATAATCAAATTCTTTTCCAAAATTCAATTATATTTTCAAAAATAATCTCACATTCTTTTCCAAAATTCAATTATTTTTTAAATTTTTAATAAAAATCTTGGCAAAATTAAATTTTTTTAAAATTTTTAATAAAATTTTTGTCAAAATTTAAATTATTTTTGAGTTTTCCTTAATTTTATATGAAACTATTTACAATTTTTTTAATAAATCACTTCGCAATAATTTAATTATTTTTAACAAATAATAAAATTTTTTACAGGGATTAAATTGTTTTCATAAAAAAATTATAGGCGAATTTTACTCAAAAACACTAAAAAAAATTGAATTTTGAAAAAAATTAAAAATGATTGCATAAATTCAATTATTTTCAAAAATAATCAAATTCTTATCAAAAATTCAATTATTTTCAAACATAATCACATTATTTTCAAAAATTCAATTATTTTTTAAATTTTTAATAAAATTCTTGGCAAAATTCAATTTTTTCAAAATTTTTATTAAAATTATTGTCAAAATTTCAATTATTTTCAAAAGTTTTCCTCAATTTCATATGAATTCTATTATTTACAATTTTTTTATAGATCACTTCGCAATAATTTAATTATTTTGAACAAATAATACAATTTTTTACTGGGATTGAATTGTTTTCATAAAAAAATAATAGACTAATTTTACTCCAAAACAGTAAAATAAAATTTAATTTTAGAAAAATTATAAATGATTCCATAAATTCAATTATTTTCAAAACTAATCAAATTCTTTTCAAAAATTTAATTATTTTCAAAAATAATCAAATTCCATTCCAAAATTCAATTATTTAAAAAAAATTTTATAAAATTCTTGGCAAAATTTTATTTTTTCAAAACTTTTAATAAAATTCTTAGCAAAATTTTATTTTTTCAAAATTTTTAATAAAATTTTTGTCAAAATTTCAATTATTTTCAAAAATTGTCCTCAATTTCATATGAATTCTCTTATTTACAATTTTTTTTATAAATTTCTTCGCAATAATTTAATTATTTTCAATGAATAATAAAACTTTTTACAGGGATTGAATTGCTTTTATAAAAAAATAATAGACGAATTTTACTTTCAAAGAATACAATTATTTTGAAAAAGTTAGATAATATTTTTTATAAAAATTTAATTTTCAGAACAGTTTTAATAAAATTTTTCGAAACAATCTAATTAATTTAATTAATTTTAAAGAATTTGATAAAAATTTTTTATAAAAATTCAATTCTTTTCAAAACAATTTCAACTGAATTTCTCGTTGGAATTCAATTGTTTTTAAAACTTTTATTATAATTCTTCGAAACAATTAAATTATTTGCGAAAATTTTGATAAAATTCTCTATGACTTCAATTATTTTCAATATAATTTTAAAAATTCTTATCAAAAATTCAATTATTTTTATAAAATAATAAAATTCTCTTATAAATAAATTAAATTATTCTCCATAATTTTAATAAAATTCTTTGCAAGAAGTCAATTACTTTCAATAAGATTTTAATTAAATTCCCCTAAAGAATTTAATTATTTCCAAATATTTCAATAAAAATCTTTGAATTATTTTACACTCAAATAAATGTTACAAAAATAATCACATTTTTTTCGAACAAAAATGTTATCTTGAAAAAAGAATTAATTTATTAGCAGAAAATTATGGAAAGTAAATTAATTTCTAAATTTCTCTTGAAAAAATAATGATTTCGTTTTTAATTCAAAACCGTTCTTTAAATTAATTTTTCCTATTGTTTAGTGTTCGAAACATTAAATTAGAATTTCACTTGAATAAAATTTTACAGGAATTGCTCAAAAATTAGAATTTCACCACTTTTAAAATTGAAAATATTTGAAAAGAAAAATTATCAAAGAAGTGTCAGGAAAGAAAAAAGCAAACTTTGGCTGAAAATAAGTTGTATAATTATAAATTATAATTTATAACTGTAATAAATTTGCAAATTAAATTCATACAATTAAAAATGATAATTTCTAATTATAATCGTAAAGTTTAAGAGAAAAATCAATACGATTATAAATTGTAATTTGGAACTATAATCGCAAAGTTAAAAATAATATTAATAAAATTATAAATTATAATTTGTAAAGTAATAATAAAATGGAACTAATTTGAAAATAAAATCTAGATCTAAATAAATTTCATATTTTCTATACTTTTTCCACTGAATTTATTATTGTTTTTTTTAATACATTCTTTTTTTAATACAAAAAAAAAACAGAAAAGTAAGGAAAACGAAAAAAAAGCAGTTAATATGGAAAGTATTGGCCATTATTCATTAGCCCCATAAAAATTTTTGCAATAAAATTAAGAAAAATGAAGAAGAAGGTAAAAGAAGAAGTATAGTTGTTTCTAGGTCAAAATCTTGAACTTTAACTATTCCTTCGATTTTAATTATATACATTGCGGAAATAATAATTTTATAGCATTTTTTTCTCTTCTTTATTCGTACTGTAAAAATCATAGGGAAGATTTATTAGTCTGACAAATTTAATTTCCTGATTGCCTATCACTCGGAAAAATTTCAAACGAGATTGAATCCATGTTTCTTATATTTATGGTAATTTATTTTGAAAGAAGCTTGTGACTTAAAATAAAAACTTCATATTTATTCATGAATTGTTATTTATAAAAATTATTTTTAATTTATTGAAAGTGTTTGCAACTTTTTATTCTATATTTTTTTGTGTATTAGGGAAATTATTTTTAGTTAATTAAAATAATAATAATATTGTGTATTAAAATTAATAATTAATTACGAATCACCTAAATAATTCATTATTAACTATAATAATTGATATTAATAATCAATTGATAATTAACTTTTTAATATTAATTATTTATGTATTATTTTATATTAATTATTTTTTTGATTAATATTATTATTAAATAAATAAATTATAACTCTCTAAACTCGAATTAGTAAATTTTACCAACAAATAGTAATTTCAACTAATTTACTAATTCAAAAGCAAAAACACAAAAATTAATTCAAATTAGTGAACATTTTTTTAACTAAAAAAAAAAATGTTATAAATCAAATTTTGTTGAAATTTTTAATTTATTTTGGAAAAAAAAATTGTTTTTCAAAAGAATTGAATTTTTATAACAAATTTTATCAAATTCTTTGAAAATAATTGAATTATTTGGAAGAATTCGATTAAAGTTTGTAAAAATAATTGAATTTCGTCGAATAATTTTTTTAACTCGTGAAAATAATTGAATTCTCTTTAAAAATTTTATTAAAATTCTTATTCTTAAGAAAATAATTGATTTGTTTCGAATTTTATTAAAATTGTTTTGAAAATTAAATTTTTATAATAAATATTATCAAACTTTTCAAAAATAATTGAATTCTTTGGAAGAATTATAATAAAAAATTTGTAAAAATTAATTTAATTTCGGCAAATACTTTTTTTATTCATGAAAATAATTCAGTTCTCTTTAGACATTTTATGAACATAAATTCCTACAAAGAATTTTATTAAAATTTTTGATAGTGCACGAAAATTCTTTGGAGGAATTTAATTAAAATTTTATTAAAAATAATTGAAATGTCTTGAATTTTATTAAAACTTATGAAAATAATAATTGAATTCTTTTGAGGAATTCAATTAAAATTGAATAGAAAATAATTGAATTTTTATAGAAAATGTTATCAAACTTTCTTGAAAAATATAATTGAATATTTCGGCGAAGAATTTTTTTATGTATGAAAATAATTTCACTCTCTCAAGAAGAGGTTTTAAAATTCTTTAGAAAATAATTAAATTGTGTCGAAGCTTTTTATTAAAATTTTTGAAAATAAATAATAATAATTAATTAATGAAGTGAATTATTTTTAAACTTTGAATCTGAAATTATTTTGAAAAATTAAAATTAATATTTGAAAATAAAAAATTGCTTTTTTGAATAATAATAAATTTAATTTTTCGTTTTGCGAATAAAATTTGCTAGTTGTTAACAGTAGATAATATTAATAACTATTTCATAATTCTGTAAATAATTATTATCATTATCATTATCATTATCATTTTTCTTATTTAAAATGTTTTCTTTTTTTTACTTTTCTGTTCTTTTCTATTCTCTTCACTTCAAAACACTAGAAACTTAAAAAAAACCAATTATTTTCATAATTTTTATTATAATATTTTTCTTTAATATTTTTATACCTATAGTTTTAGAAAAAAGAATTTTTATTTTACATCACATTGCAGATTTGATCTTAAACGCCATGTGGTAATTGTGGATCGTGTTTACGTGTCCTTGTTGCGGTTATGAAGCAGTTTGTAATTTACAACTGTCATTTTCACCACAATAAGACAAAGTTTAAATTTTTTAAATCGTCGTCATTATTCATAAAAATGTCTGTTTTTTTAGAATTTTTAGTCTTGTTTATATAAATTATACCCTCTAAACTTTCTCTAAATGTTTAATTTTCACTTGTACATAAAGAAATTATTCCACCGCAATTAACGAAGCAGAAGAAAAAACTGTCCGTAAAAAAAGAGACGTGATAAAATTACATTTTACATAAACAAAAATTACAATCACTATTTAAAAAAAAAAATATCGATCAAGTCCAATTTTGAGTAAAGAGTAATTATGATAAACGATACAAAAATCTTTCCATGGAAATTTATTTTCTTGTCGAAGAACACTTCTTGAACTTTGAGAGAGTGAATTAAATGCTTTTTCATGTCTTGTTATTTTAAGTGTTTACATATTTAATGAGAAACGACAATTTTAAATGCTAAAATACATATTTAAAAATAATTTCAATTATAATAACCGAATGACGTTAATGGCGAAAAAAAAGTGACTTTATTTTTTCCCCCGATTTTTTAAAAATTCATTTATTCATACTGTTTCAGTGTTTAATGAAAATGTTTTCACGTTGAATTCAAAAAAAAAATTGTAACTTATATTTTTTTCAACTAATAATTTTTTAACTAGTATTTTAATATTTTATTTATTTTATTAAGTGAACTTAATAATTTGTTAACTAATATTTTTCTCAACTAATATTTTTTTCGACTAATAATTTGTTAACCATTAGGATTCTTTTTCCAACCAATTATTTCAACTATAAATTTGTCCAACCACTATTTTTTTCAGCTAATAATTTGTCAACCACTATTTTTTTTCAGCTAATAATTTGTTTTCCAATTCAATAATTATTTTTTGAAATTCAATTCAAGAATAAAATTGAGACCCACCTGAAAGACGAGTGGCAGAGCCCTACAGAGATCCTTGTCGAATACTTTGAGTACAGTATTTTTTGTGATATGTGGTGGAAAAATACTGCCATCAGTTCCCATAACACTGTCACATTCATCTGTCTTCCAATGACCTAAACTTAATTTTCCATTCCATTTCTCCAACATTCCATATTTTGTAATGTCCGATTGACCAGTGAAAATTGTATAATTATCAGGCGATGTGCCATTTTTACCGTAAAGCAAACCAAATTGATCGTATGGCAATTTTTGCTCCTTTGGCACAACATCCTTGGCCAATTTCAATAGAGGATCCTCATAACCCCAAAGAAGTTGTCCAACGGACACTTCGACAAATGGTTTAATTTTTAGAATATCCAAAATTGACGCCATCGCCAATCGAAGAAATCGTGCAGCGTGTTTTGATTGTGTTGTGGCCGAGAGCATTGGTACATTTGGCACCACCACCAAATCGTCCTCTGAACCCACTGAGAGTTCCTGCAATTCAATTGGAATTTATTAGAAAATAGGTACAAAATAACTACCAATAATATACCAATAATAAAATAATTACCAATAATTATTGGATTTTTATTGCAGACTTTATGACTATGCAGACTTTATGATTTTTAATTCAGAAACTATGCCTACACAACAGACTTCTAATTTTTATGCTGTAACAAACGACATCAGAATTTTGAATCTGAATCTTATTTTGAAACCCGAACAAAATGCTGTAAACAATTTTTAATTTGGAATAAAAGTAGCAGAGCACTTCTGATTTTTAATTCGGAAACTACATCTAAACAAGAAACTTCTTATTTTTATGCTGCAACCAAAAGACAACATCTGAATTTTGAACTTGAATCTGATTTTGAAAGCCGAACAAAATGCTTCTCACAATTTGAAACTTGATTCCAAAAAAAGCAGAGCAGAGCAGATTTTTTAATTCTAGAAACTATGCAGGAATAAGATTATTCCAGAATAAGCAGAGCACTTCTGCTTCTGATTTTTTAATAATTCTAGAAACTATGCCAGGACTTTCTAATTTTTAATTAAGAAACTGCATCTAAACAGAAAACGTCCAATTTTTATTCTGTAGTGCAAATGACAACAGAATTTTGAACCTAAACAAAAATAGTGCCCTTCTAATTCTGATTTTTAAGTCCGAACAAAATGCTTTACACAATTTCAATTTTAATTCCAAAATAAAAAAAGCAGTGCACTTCTGGTTCTGATTTTTTAATCCTAGAAACTATGCAGGACTTTCTAATTTTTTTAATTAGGACACAGCATCTAATCAGCACTAATTTTTATTTCTACACCCAAATGACAACAGAATTTTTAACCGAAACCATTTCGATCACAAAATAAAAATAGCAGTACATTTTTGATTTTGATCTTTTGCAACCAAATGACATCAGAAACAAAATCAAAACAATTTTGATTTTAAAAACCGAACATAAACCAAATGTGACAAATTATGAATTCTTTACTCAATAGAACATATTATGTTAAACTGACATTAATAAAATTAACGTAATCTGCTTTCTTTCGTTTCTTAATTATTTTTTTTTCGTCACAAAAGAAAAATTCAAAGCCTACGAGAAATTAATTCAAAAATAATACAATAAAAATATTGATCTTGCCTACAAACTTCTATTTCGGTATGTTGCATAATTTATTACCGTTTCTCGCAATCTCAAGAACAAATTTACGTTTTGCTATTACTGAAAAATGATTACAAAAGTTATACAAGCAATAAAGTGCACACGTAAGTTTATATTAAGTCACAGAAATGCGAGCAGGTAACTAGGAAGAGAATTATAATAATTCAAAAACCAACTATATCATATCACGAGTAGCACTCGACTTACAACATTCAACGATGCATAAACATGAATGACAAAAGGAAATAATATTATTTTTGACAATAATTCAATTCTTCTTCTGTGCCACATCACAAATTTTTATACACATCACTACTTTTAACATTAAAAACAAAAAGCAATTTCTCAACCAAATCCGTAAAATATTTACTTTGCGGATCTTTGGGTGTTCCTGAAAATTTCCTTTTCGTAAAAGGAAATTTTTATGCGAAAAAAAGAAGAAAAAAAAGAAGCAAAGAAAAAGAAAAAAATTTTAATGATCAACAAACTGTTCCTCAATTATTCTTGTCACATTATACACAATATTCTAGTGTTTCGTGAATCGAATGACAAATATTGATATGCAAAATAAAAATGACTCACTGGCGAGAAGATATATTCCTTCTTCGGCTTATAGCTGACTGTATCATTTCCATTGAATTGAAGTTCAACTTTCTCCCATGTTTGCAAATAAACGTAAGGGCCAATTTCTTGTAATATCGGCTTATCGCCATTATTAAGGAATTCATCGGCATTTGTAACATTATAAATATAAACGTGCATTTCAGGCGTAACTGGCGGCGCTCTCCACCAATCAAACGATTTATTCCCCTCCTTTAACGACACTTGCTTATTTATTATTGCATTTATTAAATTTGGAAATACTGACGCCAATATTGCGGCAATTATAACTAGAAGCAGTCCAAACGCCACTGCTGCCCCTAAAATTAAAGAAAAATTCAAAATTACTCAATCATTATTTATTAGGAAATGTATTTTAATAAATTAGTATATTCATAACATTTATAACAATCGCAAGACAATTAATACCTGATAAATTAATTAATACCCAATAACAAAAATTATTAAACTAAATAATTACAGTGATTCATTTCAAAAATCAATATATTTTTGTTTAAACTTACAAAACATATATTGTTTACTATATTAAAAATTATTTTACTGTTCGTTAGAATAAATTTTTCATACTTGATTAAATTTGAATTTCAAAAAGAAACAAATTTTCGTTCATTTAAACGTTCGGAACTTTTGGGAAACATTCTTTTACGTCAAGTATTTATAAAATAAAAAATGATTTTTACTCTCGTTTTTTATTTACTCTCTCAAGGCTTTGGAAGGTTTGATGATAAACACGGGACCCATAAAAATTTGCACTTTTCTTTTTCTTGGGCCCAATATTTGCATAACGAGTTACAATTCCTTTTTGTAGAAAAAAAGTATAATTAGACCCAGAAAAAAAAGGAAAATTTAGAGATAAAAAATGAATTTCACAAATTTCGTGCGACTGAAACGTAAATATTGTCAGATAATAAATAGTTTAGCTGGACCGGATGGTGTTATACAAAAAAAAATTATCTTATTTGGATTTCTCAATGCCAAGGTCAAGCATTAAAAATCTTCACTAAAATGCGTCATAAGAAATCTTCTTTTTGGAAAGAAACTATAAAAGACAAGTAAAACTTTGTGTAAAGTTTCAAAATAAATTGCTGACCCATCGCAAATTTTATACAATCTCAAAATCACAAGGACAACAAGTCCAAATGTTTTTTCCTTATATTCGATATTATAAAAGTTGTATTTATAATATTAAAAGTTAATAGAGTATAGAGAAATATTTATTTTACACTTTTAAATTTGAAAAACTATTTCGCCCACTTTATTTTTTTCTAATATTTTCATTATAGTTTCCAAAGATTCGAAAGTTCAAATGAAGGACATTTTTATTACTACATAATTTTTATATTTTATTTCTTTAAAATTATTATTAATAATTATTTATTTAATTATTAATTTAATTATTTAATTAGAAATTATTTTCTTTATATTAAAGAATTAATTCTAAATTAACTAATAATATTTAATTTACATTTTCTATATTTTATTTAAATTTAAAAAAATCTTTATTGTATTTTATTTGAAAAAAAATTATTTCCTAAATTAATGAATTAATTCTAAATTAAGTAAAAAAATTTAATTTACATTTGCCGTATTGGCAAATTTAAAAAAAATATTTAAACGTAAAAAAAAAATTTCGTTCAGAACTTTAGGAAATAGAGAAGTTGCTATTAATATAAGAATTATTTATTTATTATTTTAATTTATATTTTATTTTAATATTATTTTATTTTGATATTATTTTATTTTAATTTTAATAATTATTAATAATTTATTTATTATTATTTATATTATTAATTTTTTAAAACTGAAACGAAACGATTTTCTATCATCACCAAGATTCAAGTTTCTATTCACTTCATTTCGTTTGTGAGAGAACTTTTATGCCATCTAGGCGGGAATTTAACGAACTTTTAGGCGCGAAATTCAAAAAATTCAAAATTTAATTATAAATAATAATAATAATAATAATAATAAATAATAATAAATAATAATATGTACAATATTAAATATTTGAACGATTTGAACGTTAAATATTTAAATTTTCATTTTAATTTAATTATAAATTTTATATTTTAAATATTTAAATTTTTTTATATTTTTCTTAATAACCATTATATGAAATATTATGAAATTCTTAAATATATGCTAATGACATTTATTATATATATTAAATGCACCTCTTTACATTGCAAATTTGAAACTTTTGTTATGAAACTTTTTATTATAATAAATATTTATTATTTATAACTCAAATTCTAAGCGTTGCAATATTCTCGTAATAATAATCAGAACTGAAAATTATACCAAGAAACCAAGTGTAACTGAATAATGAAAAAATTTGCGAATTTCGAAAGAATATTTATATATTACTAAATATAGAGTGATATAATATTTTTCGAGAAGTATAAAATTTTCTTTTATTTTAGAAAATATTTTTTTAAATAATAATTTTAATAATAATTTTTTTAATTATAAAAGGAACAAAAAGTATATCAAAAAGTATATCAAAATTTCCTTTTTGAAAAAAATTATAATAATAAAAGAAAACAGTTTTAATTTTTTATTATTTTTTCTACCAAAAATTGTATCTTATTGCCACTAATTGATTTTGGTAAAAAAAAAATTAATTATTAATAAATGGAAATAAATAAAATTAATTATTTTTTTTTTTTAGTTTTAAATTATTTCATTGTAAATAAATGTACCGAGTGAAAAATAATTTTCAGTAACTAATATTAAACCAAAAAAAAAGAAATTTGTTTAATAAAAATTTTAATTTGTATAAATAACTCGATGAAACGAAATAATTTGCATATTTATCATCAGATAATAAATAATTAGCATATTAATCATCAGATAATGGATAATTAGCATATTAATCATCAGATAATGGATTACATTGTATTTTATATGGAGAAAAAAGTTGATTAATCCTTTCCGGAAAAAATCGGATATATTATAATAAATAAAGAAAGTGAAAAGTAGCAGTCATAATATTCGCAAATAATATTAAACTATATCTTTGGCTAATGTCTTTTTTTTCTTCCGCTTGCGTGAGCAAAATGCATTGCGAAGAAAAGAATAGGTTTTTATATTATGACTGCGAATATAAAATACATTTAATCAAGGTCTAATGCACTTGTAAATAAATATGTTATGAGTTTCGAGCAAAGGTGTTGAGTGAATCTTTTTTTTTTTTTTTAGCAGGATCGAGATAATAATGTGGGGGCATATTAGAGAAAGTAGAAAAAATACGGAAGTAGAGACATTAAATTCTACTTTTAACAGGAAGGGCCAATGTCGCGACATTGACGTCTGATGAGAGTTGGAAATATGTTATTATTTATTTATTTACTGTAATGGGTAATTTAGTTCTACTCTAGTTTATTAAATTCTATTTTATTCGATTTTTTTTCTATTCTATTTTATTATATTCGTTTCTATTTAATTTAATTCTTTCTTTTATTCAATTTTGTTCTATTCGTTTCCATTTTAGTTTATTCGATTCTATTTTAAATTCTTCTATTCAATTTTATTCTATTCGTTTATATTTTATTTTATTCGATTCTATTTTAATTTTCTTCTATTCAATTTTATTTAATTCGATTTTATTCTATTCGATTTTTTCCATTATTTTTAATTCTACTTAATTTATACTATGATTCTTATATTTTTAATTTGTTGGTTTTTCAAAATTTAATTTTTATTATAATAATATTTCGCCGCATTAATAAAAAAAATTATAAACCTTAGAAATATTTAATTTAAATTTTTATTTTTTTGCAATAGGTACTTAATATTTGAGAATATTTATAATACAAAATTTTGTTATTTTGTTAATATTTCAATATTTAATAATAATTAGTTAAATTGAAATTAAAAATTTTTTTTTAAGATAAAATTAGTTTTTGCAGAATAAAAATTTAGTTTCATGGAAAATTAATGAATTTTGCAGAAAAAACATTTTATTTTCAATTAATTATAAAAAAATCTCACAGAAATTTATAGAAATTTTGTTAATTTGTTAATATTTAAATATTTAATAATTAGTTGAAGTGAAAATAAAAAGTTTCTTTCAAGATAAAATTAATTTTGCAGAATAACAATTTAGTTTTAAGTTAAGTTAATGAATTTTAGAGAAAAAATATTTAATTTTCAATTAATTATAAAAAAATCATAGAAAATCATAGAAATTTTGTTAATTTGTTAATATTTAAATATTTAATAATTTATTGAATTGAAAATAAAAATTTCGTTTCAAGATAAAATTAATTTTGCAGAATAACAATTTAGTTTCTTGGAAAATTAATTTATTTTACGAAAAAAAATATTTAATTTTCAAGTAATTATAAAAAAATCATAAAAATTTTGTTAATTTGTTAATAGTTATATAGTTAACAATTAGTAGAATTAAAAATAAAAATTTTGTTTCAAGATAAAATTAATTTTGCAGAATAAAAATTTACTTTCATGTAAAATCAATTAATCTCTGCAGAAAAAATATTTAATTTTCAATTCATTATAGAAAAATCATAGAAATTTTGTTAATTTGTTAATATTTAAATATTTAATAATTTATTGAATTGAAAATAAAAATTTTGTTTCAAGATAAAATTAATTTTGCAGAATAAAAATTTAGTTTCTTGGAAAATTAATTCATTTGTAGAAAAAATATTTCATTTTCAAGTAATTATAAAAAAATCATAGTAATTTTTTTAATTTGTTAATATTTAAGTATTTAATATTCAGTTAAATATTGAAAATAAAAATTTTATTTCATGAGAAAATTAATTTTTCAAAAAAATATGTTTAGTTTCATGGAAAATTAATTAATTTTGCAGAACAAATGTTTAATTTCATGGAAAATTAATTAACTTTGTAGAAAAAATATTTAATTTTCAATTAATTATAAAAAAATCATAGGAATTTATAGAAATTTTGTTAATTTGTTAATATTTCAATATTTAATATATAATTAGTTGAATGAAAGATAAAAATTAAAATAAAATTATTAAAAAATAAAATTAATTTTGCAGAATAAAAATTTAGTTTTATAAAAAATTAATTAATTTTGCAAAAGAAATATATAGTTTCGTGGAAAATTAATGAATTTTGTAAAAAAAATATTTAATTTAATAAAAATAAAAAAATAAAAATTAAAAAAAAAATAAATTAAAAATTAAATAAATTAAAAAAAAAATAAATAAATTAAATTAAGGGCATTTGAACCATTATGACGTCACAATGTGTGCAAAGTATGAGTTTTAAAATTTTGACGTCATAATGGTTCAAATGCCCTTAA